GGAACTTTTTTTTCTTCTGTAAACAAAGCTCCTGTTAACTTTTTCTGCCTTTCTGGAGTGATTTTTCTTTTCTCCTGTCTCTTTGATTTGTTTCTGGGTCTGCAGCTGGTTTCAATTTGCCTGCAATTTTCTTCTGGCTAGTAAAGCTTTGGAGGTGACTTAAACTAGACACACGGGATATCTGGACCCAACCGTGATATTATTACAAAGACAGAAAAACAGAAATAAAGATTTAAAAAAAAAAAAAAAACAATCCCCCCCCACACGCAAACATAACTTTTTTAAAAAAAACAAAACAAAACATTTTCTAGATTTTAGGTAACAGGATTTGGAAATTCAGTTTTAACTGTGTCTAAAACGCAAGGAAGAAGTTTGCTGACATGCTTTCTAAGTAGTTGCAAATGAAAATCCCTCACGAAAGAGATTAACTGGTTCTTTTCCCTTGCTTTTTTTTTTAAACAATTTTTTTTATTTTAAAACAAAATTGAAACATAAAAACATCATCATTCCAAACAATTACAGACAGTATATCGACCGGTTAACATCCTTTTGTGCAATCCCATCTTCATTTCTTTTCCCTTGCTTTTTATTATTTATTTAAAACAGCTTGAAATTTTTCTCAAAAGTCTGCCAATTTAAAGTTCCTTGACCAAAAAGGAGGGGAAAAAACCTGGATGTTTTAATCATAAAGGCCAGGTTGCATTTATATATTTCTTCCTTCCTTCCTTCCTCCTTTTTTTCCTGGCAATGTGATCTAAACAAAACCCACCTTAATGAAACTACTGTTATCTCAACTAAGCAAAACAGACATATTTAGATTTCAACTAGGCATATCATGTTTAGTGGATAAGGGGAAAAAGTACTAATTTGCTTGGAAATGACCCCTCTGTATCCAGATCCGTTCATATTTATGCAGCAGTGGCTTGTTAATATGGATTTCAAGAGCAACAGAGCCAAGCTGAACCAAATAACTCCCTAATGCCATAATTGGAGTTTCTCCGTTGAACTTTTTAGGGTGGGATTAATTTTGGTTCAGTTTGTGTTGTCATTTTCATAATAAGAACTGTTGCAAAGACCTTTGGGGACCTCTAAAGAACAATTTCATTTTATTACTTGTGGCCTAATCCTAAAAAAAAATAAAAAAAAAAAACAGAAGAAGAAGAAAGAAAAACAAACACAAAACCCACAATGACTTATGAAAAAAAAAATGAAAAACAAACACAAAACCCACAGTGACTTATGAGGCAATCGAGAGAAATGGTGGGACTGCTAGAGCTGAGAGGGAGGCTAATCCAGATTGCAAGTTACATATGGCAGCTCTGCAAAACGTTGTTTCTTTTCTTCTTTTTTTCCCCCTTGCAAACCTGCAACATTTACTTTACCTGAAAAATTGGTTTTCATGACAATCGGCACAGAATCAAATGAAATCTCAAAGATGCCAACATTCACAATGTCTTTACTTAGTCCAGATATATGTCTCAGCTGTGTGTTGTTTTCTTTAAGATTGGTCAGGAATTTTGTCTGCTGGAGACTAAGTTGCATATAGACACGACTCCTAAACTGACCTTTCACCCCTGCCACGTTATACATATATATATAAAGGAGGAAAATGTTTCAATATGTTAGACTTAAGAGTGAAATGGCCAGGGAAAGCATGGTGAAAGAGCATTCCTTTATATCAAACTTCTCTCTTTTGTATGTCTTTTCTAATGTGTGTGTGTGTGTGTGTGGAGAGAGACAGAGAGAGAGAGACAGAGAGAGAGAGACACAGAGAGAGAGACAGAGAGACAGAGAGAGTGACAGAGACAGAGAGAGAGAGAGAGAGAGAGAGAGAGAGAGAGAGAGAGAGAAACAGACAGAGACAGAGAGAAAGACAGAGAGAGGATATTTTAGAATTTATTGAGAATTTAAAGACACCATAATATCCCAACACTTTCGTTCTTCTCTTTCCTTATTATTTTAGCACGCAAAAAAAAATACCACCCCAACGTTTATCTTGATTAATTCTTTACAGTTTAGGTAATTAGCAGTACGTGTTGATATTGAGAAATATCTCAATTCACCAGTTTTGCAATATGTGTGGCAGGGAAGATGAAACAGCAAATATTCAGAAAGAGGTTATGGGTTCTACAGTTTGGCTTTTTAGCATTTTGTACATGCTCATGTACCACTTGATTGGGCAGATAATGAGGCCCCTGATGATTTTATTGCTTCTATTCTGGTTATTTTCCTCTGACCTACAAGCTAATTGTTTTAATATTTTGATTACGATCAATTATTATTTATTAGCAGTTTGCATATGCTTAGATGCCACTTGAAGGTACCTCAAGTCTGAGGTGATATGAGGTACATGTTGACTCAGTTGCTTCTATCCTAGTTAGTTTGCTCTGACCTGCAAGTTGCTTGTTTTGATGTTTCAGTTATGGTCTTGAAATGTCAACTATCAAGCAACAAATTCTTGAAAAAAATCAACCTAGGGAGAAGGAGATTTGAGCTGACACTAGATTATGACTTTTATTTAAATTATCGCTTGGAATTGCAGTGAGCAAATAAGGGACAGATCTGGGAGCAGTTTTGTTTTATGCATCCATCATTTGATTATTTCAAAATCAAGTGATGACCATGAATTTCTGAAACAAACAAACAAACATCACTTCTAAATACATTGACCTCCAAAAAACTGAAATAGTCTTCACAACTGGGGTTCAGAATAGTCAACAATCAATCACATTTAAATAAACTTTAATAATCAAGTGCATTTCACTGAGCAAAGGTACAAAGGTTAAGTTGAACATGCAACTTCTTGTATAAATGCATGGGGAACACTACACATACAGATACAGAAATTTCATAGTTCATTTATTTATTTATTTTATTATTTATTTATTAATTTTATTTCTATACCGCCCTTCTCCCGAAGGACTCAGGGCAGTGTACAGCCTGATTAAAAGCACAAAGACAGACAGAATTTAAAATAAATTAAAATTATTAAATGATAGGCTCAATTTAAAACCCCAAATTTAAAATCCTATTTTTAAAACCCAATTAAAATCTTTATCTTGATAGCCCAGCCTGGCGGAAATTCATAAATTTAGGCCGCAAGTATTCCATGGCACTGATGAAAAAGACCTTTTAAATTATATGGACTTCTTAGTGATCCAAGATGAAAAAAACAATTTTCTAAGCAACCCAGAAAATAGTAATGTATTGCTTATCTATGGTAAAAATATTAGATAACTTGGGCCATCAAGATGCCACATTTTTAATATTCCATCACCCTATTTATGATTAACAATGTAATTGCCAACTTTTTTTAATGACATGTTCTTCCCTTTAACAAATGTTGATGTTATCTTCAGCCAGGTACAAAGGATTTTGTTTCAAAAACCTAACTCATCCAAGGGAGAGCATAATACTTCCAGAAAGTTCTATTGTATTATCCATGGAATTTGATTTGGGATATGAATCAGGAAATACTGCCTTCCTTTTGTAAACATTCTTTATCTTTCCACCATCTTATTACAGAAGTATCACTATGCCACTAGTCCAGAAGCCTGCAGCTGGATGGGCCGAAGACACCACAAACAAAATTTCACTTGCTCGTGTCATATCCTCTTCTTACCAAAATCCTGAGGAGGAGAAGAATAGGAGAAAGAATTGGGAGTAATAAAATATACCGGTAAATTTGTGGCAGACTGCAAAGAATGTGTCCTCTCGCTATTGGAGCCACAGTTGATGTGTTCAAAGTCTTTAGCTGATCATGCTGAGAACTCTTCATCTAAAATTGCTCCATACTTCATGAGGAACTGATAACATGGATATTAGAGAGATGAAAACAGATAGCAGACCACATTTTGATCCTCTCTCTAGAGCAGCGGATGACAAACGAGCTGAGGAATCTCTTTCTAAGAGATTTTTCATTGTGTATCTGCATTAAGAATGTAAGAGCAAATGATTTTTAATTTTTGGTTTAGATTTTTCTTCTCCTTCTTCTGTCTTTATTATTTTTATAAATAACTCAAGGCAGGGAAACACACCTAACACTCCTTCCTCCTCATATTATCCCCACAACAACAACTCTGTGAGGTGATTGGGGAGAGAGAGGGGGGAGATGGGGAGAGGGAGAGGGAGGTGGGGGGAGAGAGACACTGGTGCAAGGTCACCAAGTTGGCTTTCATGCCTAAGGCAGGACTACAACTCATAATCTCCTGGTGATTGGCCCAAAGTCACCCGGTCAATTTTTATACTTATGGTGGGACTAGAACTCCCAATGTCCTGGTTTCTAGCCTGGAGTCTTATCCACTAGACCAAACTTAATTGTAAGGACCCTGGTTATGTGTATAGCGGTTATGTGTATACTCTCTGTGGTTTGTGTGCTTCACTTTTCATCCCATTGTCAACAATTTGGCTTCAGTTTTACACACCTTGTTTTCAGCAACCTTACAGTGCCATTTAGGCACCTCCATGATATTTTGCTTTTTCTGCTTTGCAGCCAAGAAACTGCATTGAACAATCTACCATCATGCTAAAAAAAAAAAAAAAGAGGGATTAATAAAAGCAAAGAAGGAACGATCTCTGAGGACGTACAGAGTTTAGAATTCTTTTAAATAAATCCAGCCATCCCTCTTACATCTGGAAGGGTTTGAAGTTACAGAACTTGTAGTGCTGGAAGGGTGTTGGATTGCCTTCCCTGCTCCCATCCTTTTTAAACATTTCCCCCCCTGAAATCCTAACAACGGTGATAATAAAGCCCAAAATATATTGTACTGGTTCAAAAGCAGAAACCAGATGGATTTTTATTTCTGAAGCCGGGACTGGAAACGGTACTTGAGCTCCACTCAGTGTCACTGCTGGAATTGCCTGCTCTCTCTCTCTCTCTCTCTCTCTCTCTCTCTCTCTCTGTGTGTGTGTGTGTGTGTGTGTGTGTGTGTGTGTGTGTAAGGGGGGTGGATTTCTGTCTCAAAGTTGTGTATTCTTGTAATTTTATAGGGTTCCTGGAAGATGAAAGCTACTCCAGCTAGAGAACCAAGTTGGGGAGCAGAGGCGACGCAGGCAAAGTTGTCATATTAGGGTGATTTATCAAAAGAGCGGTTGAAATATTGATAAAGGAAGGAGGGAGGTAATCCAGGAAGAGAAAAGGAAGGGAGAGGGTCTGGGCACGAGAAAGGGGAGAAAGGATGCTGTGTCGAGTTGTTCAAAAAAAATAAAATAAATGAAACATACCCTTAACCCTGAGGATATGTGAAAACTGCTGCAGTCTGCAACGATTCTTAAGACAGGAAAGGAAACACACTTCCTTGTTGCTTCAAGTTGATCTTGTTCTTAAGGATAGAAGGGGGGGGAAAGCTATCTTTTGCGATGATGTGGCTGCTGGACTATTAGATCTGGGGAAGAATTTTTTAGTCGGTTTCTCCTTTGTCATAGTGGATCTGGATTTCTAAATCACCCAACTGGCTGAAGACGAAGTACACTCCATAAGGTAAGGGTTTGCTGTGTTCTTTCCAGCTTTAGCAAGGCAAAGAAAGAGAAAAGGTTGACTTGGGTTTTTTTTTAGGCTTCATAGGAGTGGAAATGTTCCCGCTACTTCCATCCAACTCTGATTGTTTTACACAGGTAGTTTCACTTCGGCCAAAGTTGCACGTTGTTTGTGGCAAATATATATGTATATCTGGGATCGGTGAGGAGAGAATGAAGATTAGCCAACAGAGAGAGAGAGAGAGACAAAGGAAATGTTGAGGATAACAATCTTTAAGAAAGAAGTTTGCTAAGAGTTTGTTTTTTCAGGAAAAAAAATTGCAGGAGAAATAAAAATTGGAGCATCCTAAAACTATTTCCCCTCATTTGATTTCCTCTAGAAGTGTTATAGAATTGCTCCTAACATTCCTGGTTAGTGCTATTGGAGGATGATGATAGCTGGGGATGATGGAAAGTGAAGTTGTGCACAATTATAGGATTGTATAGAGAGTGAGAATGAATCTTCTAAAGTTTATCCAAGTTACAACTGAGAATATTACCCTTTTGTTCCAATTGGTCGGCCAATCGTTTAAAGCAATATGCATAAGGTAATAGATGCATTAGGAAAAAAAATCAACGGTTTCAGTAAAGAAAATAGGATGTTCTCAGAAACAGGGAAAAATTATAGAACTGAATTTTTAAACATTATCCTTTGGAAATGACTGCAAATCACCACGTTAGCCAAAACATAGACCTGCTGTTCATATATTCCTGAACAAGCTCCACTGTGATGAATGAAGATGCTTGCTCCAACTTAGCTCAGGCGAACATCTAGTAATGCTTGTGTTGAGCTTCAGGAATATTTGTTTTGCGCCCCAAATCTGACCAAAGCAGCTGCTGAGATGGAGTGGAAATGCTCACCCATGGCTGGCTTTCAAACCAACTTTATTCCATTTAACGGACACTGAACAGGAAATGCACATTTGGGATAGACAAGCTGTGTCTGTGGCAAGAATTTAATCTGGTTTGCATTTGCAAAGGTCTGTGTTTGAAGCATTGTGCTCCAGTCTTATGTTTTATATATTACGAAGCGCACGTTTTCCTGGGTTTTGTGGAACTGACTTCTAAGTAAACATATGGAGAACACACAGGTCACAGTTTAAGCAGAAGGCAAAGGTCATGGCTTGGAGAAGAAACAAAATGAATTGAATTCCCCTATAGTTTCTAAAACACTTAAAACTCAGTTCTTTTCATTTAGGTGGTTTTTGCATATTTGTGAGATGAATTTTCCAATAATAATCCTGGGTAGCATTCCAATCCTATTATTCGCTTTTTCTATTTTTTTTTAAACAATCCCTTTTCACCAAATTTTTTGCATACAATTTCTTCTGAAATCGATCTGGCTCCCTTTCAAGGAATGTCTAATAAAATCCTTTTTTTATTTATTGTTAACATATTTTAACTGAGAAGAAGGGCAACTTTTTGCTTTCCTCTTATCACGCTTTTCCCATTTCTTACAACATTACTCTTCGTTATAAGTTAGTGAAGTTGCATTTGCTTCTAAGGAGAGGGGAAAAAAATTTTGCAACCTTGGGCAGTCTGAACTATACAAGCCTCACTTAGAGATTAGATCTTGGGGTCATTTTTAATGCGTCTAGGTTTAGGTTTCGGAGAAAGTGACTCTGTAAAAACAGCCATTTATTTTGACAGCAGATATAACACTGGCCATGTTACTTCCAGTGTTGATAACTCCCGTCCAGACGTGTTTACATGACCAAACAGAATAGTAAGTAAAACAGTAAGTACAACAGTAGTTGTAACTACTGTAGAGGACTTCAGCGGCCAAAGAGCAGTGGCAAAAGAACAGTCTTAATTTACTCAAATGGTTAATGCAAGTATTAACATTATCTCTCATCAATGTCTCTGGCTGCCTTTGGTGTCACTAGTGGTGGTAAGGAAGGGAGGAAGGGATAAGGGGCTAATAATCCCAGAAACAAGGATAGTCAGTAATGAGAGTTTCATCATTGCTTGAATACTTGTTGATAATTATGGAATGTGAACATACAGACACAACAACAGTTTAATGCCATTGATTTAAATGGCAGCAAATTAAGCCGACTGTGCTCATTAAAGACAATAGGAACTTAAGTAGTTAGTTTCAACTGGCCAGTGGCCAAAGATTTGCATCATTAGACTAATGACTGTATAACACACACATGCAAATCCACACATACACACACTACTAACAAAGTTGAAATGAAGGCATTTCGTCCAGTTTTTTTTTTTTAGAAGTACAGTGTCTGTACTTTGTTATGTGTTGTTGATATTATTATTTTGTAGGAATAGAGTTGTTTAGGCAAATGTCTTTTCTTTCTTTTTTCCTAACTTCATCTGCACCACATTACGGGGTGCTAAAAAAATCCACACACAACTACCCTAAATGTTCAGTGCAATTCATTAAGTTTTATAGAACCGTGTCACTATCCCCTTTCTCAGTGCCAACGTTAAAGGTGCAGGAGCTTCCTTTTTCATACATGACTATTTCTGCCACAACATTCATGGTAAATGCCTTTAATCAAATTAATTGGCTGTTTGGAGAATCAAATATCCAAAGTGAAAATCTCTGCCTCCCTCCTTCTCTTCCTCCTTCCTGCTTATTATTTTCGTCCTTTCAAGAAAACCCAGACAATTTTTTTTTAAAAAAAAACCAACAAAGAATGAAAGTAAGCCATGTTGTGGGTCTTCTTTCCGTAGAGCAGGGGTCACCAACCTTTTAGACCTCAGGGACCACTAAATTCATAATTTTAAATCCCGCGGACCACTAATATAATCTGCCTAATGACTGGCTGGGTGGGCATGGCTTGGTGGTCATGGGACTTGGTGGGCGTGGTCAACTCAATGTCACTCATGTCGAGGGGCGCCTTGCTGGCCTCTCCTTGCCCCTCCCCTCCCAGCCCCTCCTCACCTGCCCGCCCGGGCTCCTTAGGGCCCCAACAGGAAGCAGTTGTTGGAGCTAAGCAGCCACCACGAGAAAGAGTTGGCAAAACAGCTCAGTTCAAATTGGATCTGCCCGAGAAGGAGGCTCATAGAAGCACCTCACTGAGGACTATGAGGATAGGCTTTCCAAGCAGAGGGAAGACCTGCTGGCGTACAGGCTCAGAGGGCTGAGATGGTCAGTCAGTTCCAGGCCATGATGCAGTCCTACTGGAACAAGGCCCTCCAGCTCTTCGCCACCAGCAGCACTTCCCTCCAGCCTTCTCCCAAAGCCCAGCACCAGGAGGCTGAAACAGACCCCGAGTTGGAATTTCTGTCTCCCTCCGACCCACACCGAAGGGGGAGACTCTCTGCAGCAACACAAATGTCCATTGCATGTATCTGGCCCAGGGACCGTAGTTTGAGGATCCCTGATTTAGTGCAATATAAAAAAAGGCAAATAATTTTTCTGCGGACCACCAAAATTTTCTCGTGGGCCACCAGTGGTCCATGGACCACCAGCTGGTGACCACTGCCCTAGAGAGTCCTTGTGCCCTAGGTGTCATAACTGGATTTACACATAATGACATTGTTTGGAATCTATTTGTCCTTATTACAAAAAGGAGACTTTCAAACATGGGGCTCCCTTTAGCTCACATCTCTAATTACTCCTTCTATGTTGGTTTGAAGGCTCTTCCAGACATCCAGTTGCAAACCAGGATGTTCCAGACAGTCCCAGACACTTCGTCTTACGTCAAGGTAAGACATGACACCATCTTGAAGCAGGTAATGTCCAATATTTACAATATTCATATATTTGATCAACCATTTGTTGTGTCCATTCAAAAGTGTGGCTTTTGTGTCAATTGATGAATGGAGACGGACAATCGATGGGAACAGTTAGTTATCTACCACTTACCTCCTATCGAACTGTGCTTTGCACCTTGAGAATGCATTTCTATGATATACTGTAACTTGTTCAATATTGGCAGTTTTACCCTATTTGGCTTTCTTTTCTGGTGTGTTAAAGAGGGGTATTTGTTTTGATTCACACACATTTAGGAGATCTAAGTAACCATCTTAATTTCGAACCACCCCAAATCTGTTCTTGTTTCTTCTGCATCACGTGTATTTTGTGTGTTTGTGAGTGCAATTCTGACTGATCCAACGGAAAGGAAATGGAGAGAAGCAACTCTATTCTATTCTATTCTATTCTATTCTATTCTATTCTATTCTATTCCATTCCATTCCATTCTAGAACTAAGGAGAAATTTCCTTGCAGTTAGAACAATTAATCAGTGGAACGACTTGCCTCCAGAAATTGTGGATGCTCTAACACTGCTAACAAGTTTTTAAGAAGAGATTGGACAACCATTTGTCTGAAGTGGTGTAGGGTTTTCTACCTGAGCAGGGAGTCGGTCTAGAAGACCTTCACAGTCCTTTCCAACTCTGTTATTCTGTTAAGAAGTCATTCTGTTAAGAAATGGTATTTCTCTGTGTGTGTTTTCTCATGGAATTCAAGAACAAAATGTTCTTGCTTATGTCAGAGGATGCGCGTAAGAAAAACACCTAAATTTCAAGAAGTCCTGTAACATCAGAATCTGTCCTGCAATATCCGGGTGATTTGTTCCCTTCAGCTTCTGTTTATTCTTAGGTTCCTTGAGAATTCCTTGTCTCTTGGTGTTGTTTTAGAATGGATAAGATTCTTGAAGGTGATGTAACTTCCACTGCTGGAATTGGTTACGGCGTCATGGAGGCCTCCTGTCTACACTTTCCAATCAGACCAAATCACACAAAAGGAGAGATTGCCTACCCTGGGGACTGAATGGAAGTGTTCAGGCTATGGATCTCAGATTATGGGGCAATGAAAACCAGGAATTCCACATGGGGCGCCTTTAGCGCTGAAAATTCTCTTTGTAGAACACGTTTTACAAGTGCCTTCTCTTTCATCAAATTGAATGGGAATGGGTTAAAAGAAAATAGACATTACCAGATTTGTGTTTCGTTTTGTTTTTTTTATTTTGGTCTGCATCATCCCGCATGCAAATATTACAAGATCTTAGATACATCAAGAAGGCTTTAGCCCTGCTATAAGAAACAAAAAAATCTAAAAAAAGATGTGGAGACTCTAGAAAGAGTGCAGAGAAAAGCAACAAAGATGATTAGGGGACTGGAGGTTAAAACATATGAAGAATGGTTGCAGGAACTGGGTATGTCTAGTTTAATGAAAAGAAGGACTAGGGGAGACATGGTAGCAGTCTTCCAATATCTCAGGGGTTGCCACATAATAAGTGGAACAACTTGCCTGCAGAAGTTGTGAATGCTCCAACACTGGACATTTTTAAGAAGATGTTGGATAACCATTTGTCTGAAGTGGTGTAAGGTTTCCTGTCTGGGCAGGGAGTTGGACTAGAAGACCTTAAAGGTCCCTTCCAACTCTGTTATTCTATTCTATTCTATTCTATTCTATTCTATTCTATCCTATCCTATCCTATCCTATCCTATCCTATCCTATCCTATCCTATCCTATCCTATCCTATCCTATCCTATTATTCTAAACAGTTGGCTCCCTCCTTCCAACAGGACTTCTAAGTGCAGATAATCCTCAATTTATGACCACAATTGAGTCCAAAATTTTGGTGGCTAAGCAAGGCAGTTATTCAGTTTTGCCCTGTTTTATGCAGTGGTGGGTTTCTACCGGTTCACCCCGGTTCAGGTAAACTGGTGGTGGCGGGGGCAGGAAGCTCCACCCACCGCCCGGACATCATCACGGATGCTCTGTGCATGCACAGGTGCAGAAGTGCCACGTGCGTGCGCTCCTGGTTCCAAACCAATAGCGAAGGTAAGAGGAACCCACTACTGGTTCTTTTGCCTTTTTTTTGTCACCGTTGTTAAGCGAATCACTGCCATTGTTAAGTGAATCACACGGTCGTTAAGTGAATCTAGTATCTCCCATTGACTTTTGCTTGTTGGAAAACTGGCTGGGAAGGTTATAAGAGGTAGTCACAAGACCCCAGGCCAGTTGGAAATTTTGATCCTATGACCATGGGGATGCTGCAAAGGTTGTAAGCATGAAAACGGGTCATACGTTACCTGCTTCAGTGTTGTTGCAAATTCAAATGGTCACTAAATGAATGGCTGTAAATTGAGAACAGGGGTGGGTTCTAAAATTTTTTACTACTGGTTCTGTGGGCGTGGCTTATTTTGTGGGCGTGGCTTGATGGTCATGTGACAGTTCTTTAGGATTTAGCAGAGGTACTGGTCTACCAGGCTTTTTGCTGCTTGAAGAGCTGTACCAGTCTACTCATTTATTTTTGCAGACACTGGTCTACCCATTTGTTTTTGGAGGCACCGGTCTACCACCACACTGCCTTTTACCACTGATCAGCTGTAGGGCTGCCCTTTGAAGTCCCGCGGCAAGAGTTTAAACAGTTTTTTTCCTTCTAGCCGATCAGCTGGGACTCAGGAGGCAGCAATAGATTGTGGGTGGGGCCAAATAAAAGGTAAGAATAATGCGGGGGGGCGGGGGGCAGGGGGGCAGAACCAGTTCGGTGATGTCATATCGTCACTGCTACCGGCTCGGCCGAACCGGGCCAAACCAGGAGGAACCCACCACTGGTTGAGAACCATCTATAAAGACCTTCCTGAAGGAATGGATCTCACCAATCGCCATGGGGGAAATCTAAAGAATTAAATCTTCTTCTTCTTTTTTTTCTCTTCTGCTTGTAACTAGCCTTTAAGAATCAAAATTCCTTTCTCAAAATCCTCTTATATGTTTCTTGGCCCTGTTAAAATAGTAGGACAAGGTACTCGGAAGAAGGAGGGAAGTTTTAAATGTTAACAGGCATGCTACACGCTGAATTTTGTTGCTACAGGGAACGGGATTAGTAATAATTGAACATTGTAAAATAATCTTTTCCACCGTTCCATCAGTGGGAGGTTTTTGGAGTTGGTGACAAAACTGCAGCAAGTCCTTATTCCTCGTAGTTTTTTTTAATATGTGCTACCGGAACTCCACTTTTCATATGGAAAACAATCCACTTCCATAAGGTAAAGGTTCCCCTCGCACATATGTGCTAGCGGTTCCTGACTCTAGGAGGCAGTGCTCATCTCCGTTTCAAAGCCAAAGAGCCAGCGCTGTCCGAAGACGTCTCTGTGGTCATGTGGCCGGCATGACTAAACGCCAATGGCGCACGGAACGCTGTTACCTTCCCACCAAAGGTGGTCCCTATTTTTCTACTTGCATTTTTTACGTGCTTTCGAACTGCTAGGTTGGCAGAAGCTGGGACAAGTAACGGGAGCTCACCCCGTTATGCGGCACTAGGGATTTGAACCGCTGAACTGCTGATTTTTCGATCGACAAGCTCAGCGTCTTAGCCACTGAGCCACTGCATCCCTCCTTCATGCACTTAGAAACCTATTTATCTGTTTAGTGTATGGCATGTCATACATGGACTTGCAAAATATGCCGTATATTAACAAAGAGGGGGTCAAATTATTCTCCAAAGCACTGGAGGGCAGGACAAGAAACAACGGATGGAAACTAATCAAAGAGAGAAGCAACCTGGAATTACAGAGAAACTTCCTGACAGTGAGGACGATTAACCAGTGGAACAGTTTGCCACCAGAAATCGTGGGTGCTCCATCACTGGAGGCTTTTAAGAAGAGTCTAGACGGTCACTTATCTGAAATAGTAGAGGATCTCCTGCTTGACCAGGTGGCTGGACTAGAAGACCTCCAAGGACCCTTGCAACTCATTCATTCTATTCTAATTAAATTTCACCTAGATTCAAAAAAACAAAGTAAAATATGAATGTTAAAACTATCTATATTTGGAGACCAATGACTGACTACTAGACCATCTAAAAACTGAAGCACAGCAGCATTTATATGAAAAAAAAAATCAGAAACTGGACCAATGTATGCCATTATCTTACAACTGCTCATGATGTGATCCAGTGGTGGGTTTCAAATTTTTTTACTACCGGTTCTGTCAGGGTGGCTTGGTGGGCGTAGCAGGGGAAGGATACTGTAAAATCTCCATTCCCTCCCCACTCCTGGGGGAAGGTTACTGCAAAATCCCCATTTCCTCCTTGGGACTCGGAAGGCAGAGAACAGATGGGGGCGGGGCCAGTCAGAGGTAGTATTTACCGGTTCTCCAAACTACTCAAAATTTCCGCTACCGGTTCTCCAGAACTGGTCAGAACCTGCTGAAACCCACCTCTGATGTGATCTACAGTTTGATGTTGGACCCCCTCAGTCACACTGAGGGGAGAATATTATGCCCATTTATACGGTGAGTCCCAGCGGATGTTGTGTGAGGTACAAATCCTATTTAGGATTGTCCATTGCTGGCATGATAGATCAAAACTGGGCACCTTTTTCAGAGGGTCATTTATATATCTTCCTAGAGTGGTGCCATGGCCTAAAGGTGGAGCTCTCGCCTCACAATCAGGAGGCTGTGAATTTGATCCTAGGTAGAGGCCGATATTTCTCTCTCTGGACACAATGAGAATATATCTGCTGAACAAAACTCCGCACTGGTGACAGGAAGGGCATCCGGCCAGTAAACACTCAGCTCCATTCGGTTGCCCAGACTCCACCCCGCAAGGGATTATGGGGTCATTAAATGAGGATGAGGATGATTTATATGTCTTCCTCAGAAACCTATTGAATACATGGCATGAGGCCTGGTTACTCGAGGGACTGCCACTCACCAATTCCATCTACCTGTCCCATGAGGTCCGAGAGCAAGCTGGCAGGGCAAAGGAAGATACAAGCCAATT